TGGGCTGCTCCTGCTCCTGCTTCCACTAGGCAAAAGTTTATGCAACGTTTGGGCATCGGAGTGAGTGAGTGGAAGTCCGAAACGGAAGAGGAAGGAGAACAAAAATAAGAACTCCTTCTGCCAACTTAAATCGTTTCGCCATCAAGTTTCCATCGATACCCACGCGCTCTCTCTCTCTCTCTCTCTGATGTTTGTGTGCTTTACCAACACTGGCCAATGGAAGTGATTTAAACGGCTTGCTCTCTACCTTGCCAGTAGAATTTCGTTGGAAGTTTCAATCTCCTTTGTGCCGCACAATTTGCATGTCTCTCTCTTTGTCATTTGCCTGAGATTCCCTGGACTAACTGCTGTTGGACAATCGTCCAACTCCCCTCCCATTTATCGAGCAGCGGAAACTTGCAGCTAAGTTGTCCGTTAAGATTCGTCCGCTGTCTGCTGTTCCAATTGCAATTATAAACTTGAAATAATTCAGCCTCAGCTGCCAGCACTGTTCTCAGCTCCATCCGCGCCTTGCAATCTTGAACTTCTCTTAAGCCCAAAGCCCTAACGGAACTCCGTTGCTGCCAGATGCTTTCGCCAGAGGTTGATAAAATACTCACAAAAGTCGCACGAACATTCATCAGCTTGTTAGATATTATTTATTTATTTAGTTATTAATATTTGATTATTTCACTTATTGTTCTCAGTGCACTTTGATCTGTCTGTTGCGTGGTTTATTGTTTGTCTAATCTCTTTTGCATTTGGTCGACTTACAGTTACTCTTGTACCGCTGTAAGAGAGAGAGAGAGAGTGAGACGGAAGTAGTAAGAGCGCACGTCAAGCGTGTTCGTTCCTCTGCTTTGGTGGGTGTGGGCGCAAAGAGAGTGATGGTGGGAGAGGCCACGCCACCGCACCGTGGAGGCAATTCGATAATTGCGTGGCTCAGAATACTGAAAGTGCAGTTGATGTCCGGCAATGAAATGAAAACGAATCTCTGATCAGCTACACTTTTACACTTTTTTGTTAATTTAATCAAAATATAAGAGGGCCCAAATACACATAAATACAATTAACTCTGCAGCAGAACTCTCTGTTCCGCTACTACTGTTGCTGCTCTCTTGGGTGACGGTGAGCCGATGCATCGCGCCCCTTGTACTTCAACAAACGCTCCACATGGCGCTTGTAGTTTTGTATGGTTTGCATGGCTTCCCGGTGACGCTCATTCAAGGAGTCCACTTCCTGCTGATGCTCGTGCTGTACGGCGCTCATCTTCTTCTGCCAGTGCGTCTTCAGCTGCTTGATCTCCCCCTTTTGCGCCTCCCACTGGGCCAGCACTTGGTTCATTGACTGCCGCTCGGAGTCGGGGTTCGTGCACTCTTCGTCAAAGCCACGCTTCAGGTCGTCAATGCATTGCTCTCCATGGCGGCACTTGCTCACCAATGCGTTCAGCTCGGAGTTCTTCGCCATCACTTTTGTCATCTTTCCGCGGACCTCCACAATGGTGTGCTTCATCTGCTGTATATCGTACAGTCGCTCCTCCAGCTCTGCGCACATCTCCTCGTAGCTGCTCTCCACACGCTGATGATTCTCCGCTGCCTGCTGCAGCTGCTTCTCCAGCTCACCGCGCACCCCCTCGTAGCTGCTCTCCACACGCTGATGCTTCTCCGCTGCCTGCTGCAGCTGCTGAATTTCGCACTGACGCTTCTCCAGCTCTGCGCACACCTTCTGGTAGCTGCTCTTCAGACGCTTATACTTCTCCTCTGCCTGCTGCAGCTGCGCGTGGAACATGTTCGACTGCTGCTGCTCCAGCGGTTCGTTACACTGCTGGGCCGACTGAGTTGGACACTCGGAGGCCTTAATGTACGCCTTGAACTGCTCGACCTTGCTCTTGAGCTCCGCGACTAGATCCTCCTGCTGCTCGGGAGCGTGGTCCGAGTGCTTGGCCTGCTTCGCCTGCCGCTTGCTGAGCTTCTGCAGCTTGCGGATTTCCTCCAACTGCTGCACACACTTGCTGCAGCCGACATCTCCGCTCTGCTCCGCCATCTTGGCCTGCAGCGACTGCAGCTCCAGCTCCAGGCTGCGCCTCTGCCCCCGCAGCCGTTCGATCAGCTGCTCGGAGTTCTTCTCCGCCAACCGCAGGCTGCTCTTCAGTGCGGCGCACTCCTCGCGCTGCCGGCCGAGCTCGTAGCTGAGAATGTCCTTGTCTCGGACGGTGTCTGCCTGCAGCTTGGACAGGCGCTCCACCTCCGCTCGTGCTTGCTCCAACAGCTCCCGAATGCGTTGCAGCTCCAGCCGCAGAGCGTCCGAGGAGTCCCGCTTCGTGGCCAGGCGCCAGTTCTCCTGCTTCAGCTGCTCCAGCTCCGCCTTGAGATGCTCCTTGTCCGCCTTCACCTGACCCAGTTCCAGCTGCACTCGCTTCAGGCTCTTGTCGCTCTTCTGGCGCTGCTCCTTCAGGGCGTTCCATTCGTCAACCAGCGGCTGGATCTGCTCCTCCACTCGCGACTTGTCCGCGTTCCGTGCGGCAAGTTGGCCCCGCTCCTTGTTGGCGTGCTCCATGGCCAGTATCTTGCGCCCCAGCTGTCAGTGTTGCTACAAATTGTTGGAAAATAATTTGCTTACAATTTTTGCTTTTGTTTCTGTTCCAGACCCACCAGCAGCCCGACCTGCTCTGAGACTTGTGAGGGATTATCAGACGAATCTCACTCAAAGAAAGCGTTTGCAAAGTGAACTCGATCTCGATTCCTGCCTCAGTGTCTACTTTGTCCAGGTCCGAGCTGGAGAGCTTTCATTTAATTTCCATTCAACAGGCCCAGCCCCAGCCCCAGCCTTTGCCTTCCTCATCCTCATGTGAATGCTCGAAAGTAGCGCAAGGATTAGGCGATGCACAACAAATTGCAGATGCTTATCCCTGGCTCTGGCTCTCCTTTGTCTCTGTGTTGCTCCTCGATTGACTTTCCAGATTGCAAATTCCTGCGCTGCTGTGCCTCTACCGAAGACTGACTGCACGAGTGACAAAGTTGCAGGCTCTTGTCTGGCGGCTGTCTTCAATTTGAATACATTTCTGCCCTGCAGCTGCCGTGGCCCTGACACTCGTTGTGGATGGCGCGGGCAGGCAGCCACAAAGTCTGCTCCAAGGACATGGCATTGTGGCACGGGTCACGCTCTCATTTCATTGCTGTGTTATTTATAAGCAGCAGCAGCAGCGGCAGCAGCAGCAAAGGGGGAGCAGAGAGCTGCCTCATCAGCATAATGGAGTGTAAATCATGCGAAACACAAGGCCCAAGGCCGAAGCGAGGCACCATAATTGCTCCTAATTCACAATTCCAGGACCAGCTGCTCCGTGCCACAACTGCATGTAAAATATGTTCAGATACCAAAAGGATTGCCACTCCCCTCTGCTTATTTGATTTTTAAACTCGGCATTAGCATACATCCTGCTCCTGCTCCTGTGTGTATCACATTTCTGTGTCTCATGATTCATGCACGTTGCCAGGCCTCACCGGCGGAGTTGTGTGTCCCAGCTGGCGGCACGCTTTGCTGTGGCATTCGGCAAAAGCTGCTCCCAACCTCCCAGCACTTCAATGGCACAAAGGAGAAACGGCAGCCAGTTCCAGCGCAGTTCCGCTTTTGTTTAATTTGCAGTCTAGGCGGGGACTCGGGGATGTCTTCATCATAATTGCAAACAAAGAAAACCCAGGGAGCAGGCAGGTGGCAGCTGGCAGGTGGCAACTCAACTGTTTGCCCATCAAGCTGCCGAGCGTCCAAAAAGCACGACACAAAGCAAAAGGAAAGGAAAGAATGGAAGAGGCAAAGTCAACAGACAGCGGGAACAGAGCCAACTGGCGGGCTGCTGACAGCAGCTTCAAATCTCGGCACACATGCCCCCGGCTGCGCTCGATCTTTAAATATTTATAACAATTCCAGCAGCAGCAGTCATCAGTCCATGTCCAAATCCCTTTGCCACTGCACTTAGCTGCCAATTTCACGGACAATGAAACGCATTTTGCATTCTGCATTCTGTAATTCTCGTCTCGTAATTGAATTGAATTATGAATTCAACGATTTTCGCTGAATAATTGATAGGCTGATGAGCACACACGAAGCTCTCTCTCTCGCATTGTTACATCTACATTACATCTACATGATGTAGAGTTACATGGCCCCCAAAGCGCTGATAATCGACTTGTCCACTCTGTGCTTGTGTTTTCTTTTTTGTGTGTTCAAAAATTCCCATTTGCATTTGTTATTTTGTGGCTGCCTACAGTTTTCAGTGAAATGTTAATTAAGTTAATGAAATGCCAGCACAGAGCACAGAGCACAGAGCACAAAAAATGAATACACAAAAAGCGAAGCAGCGGAAAACGATTGCCACAATTTATGGCCAGAATGCCGCCCCTCTGCTTGAGGAATTCGCACTCAGACTCAGGAATACATCAACAAAAGGGAGAGCCAGGGAAGTGGCTGCTTGAAAAGGCTAAAAATTCCGATTTAATGGCAGCCACTCCAGGAAATAAAAACTATCTGGCGATGCCAGAGGGTAGCGTAAAGCCCATTGAAATTCCTGCTTCAGTCTCGAGTCATGTGTAGCTGTGTATGTATTATGTATGTATGATGTAGTTAGGCATGTATGAGCCTAATTAGTTAATGTAGAAGCGGCAGTCGGTGCCTTGTCACTCCATTCCCAAGGAGCGGCAGCTAGGCTCTGTTTCAGTGCCAGGCTCAGGCACGCGGCTGTGCTACAAAGAACATTTTTTGAATCTCTCTCTTGAGGCTGAGGGAATGTTTCTCCTGCTGTCGCCTGGTGCCATCTGTTACCGCCCCCTGCTGCCTGCTGCTCTAATGAAATATATGGGGGACAGGCTTCAAAAGCAGATTTTACATCCTCCCCAACGACCGGCTGCCTCTGTGTGTGGCTCCCCAACCCCAAACCCAACCTCTCCGCATCCACGTGAGGCATTAAAAATGTAAACGCTTAATGCATAACGTATACGCAACGTGTTCACTCTCCCTCGCTCTTTCAGGTGAACGTGAGCAACACTTGGACCATGCCGCAGGAGGGCCTGAATGTCTTCTATCGCTTCTTCCGCGATCGCATCTCCTGGTTCGAGGCGGATGCCGTCTGCCAGTTCCATCATGCCAATCTGGTGACAGGTAAGCGACAGCCCGACGACTAGGCTTGCAGGTGCCAGCAGCTAATGAAAGCCAAACACAGGCTGCCATTCTGCTGCAGCAGAAATGTGGAATGCAACTGAGCTTCGGTGGGAGCAGGTGCCAAGGGACGGACAAATGTCCGCCAGCTGTTGTGACAGCGAACACAGAACGCAGGACGAAGCACGAAGGAGGCAGCTGTGGAGGCGCTCTGGGTGACAAAAGCGAAGGCCAAAAGGGGGCTGAGGGCTGAGGACAGCAAAGCGACGCAGGCCACAGGCCACGAGGAGAGTCAGCCACACGCCTTTCTGTTCATGTGAATACCGTTAGAAGCTCGAACCCCCCGCCCTAGCGACCGCCCATCCGCATGGCACCATAAATCCCACTGACAAATGCTGTCGCTGCAGGGCCAGGGGCCAGGGGGGCGCAGATTGGGGTCGGGGGAAGATAACGGCTGATCAGCTGCAAGAGGCTCTGCGCACAGTGGGCCAAACAGCCAGTTCTTTGTGCAAACAAAGTTTGCTTTCAAGTTTCTGGTGCCGCTTGATTGCCGGTTTTTGCCCACTGTGGCTGCGACCTGTTCTCGCTGTCGGCGCTGCTGTTTGTGATAGGGTCAAAAGTTCAGGGATCATTGGACGGACACTCCATTTGGCCATTGTTTTTGGCAAGCGAATTGGTCACAGTGGAGACTGGAGCTGGTCCAGGGCCTAGTCCATAATTGTTGCCAGGCCAAAGCCAGACATGCAGGGGGGGGGAGGGGAGAGGTACAACAATCGACAAACAGAAACAGAAACAGAAACAAAAATAAAATATATAAAATAATTCCCAACGAGCGTTTTGTAAACAATTTGTGACTGTCACTGGGAGTGGGCGTTGCCCCTCCGTCCTGCTCCTCCTCTCTCCTGACAACACAAATCAACCCAAATAAAAGCCAACAACACACAACAGACGCAAGCGAATTTAAATAGAAATTGTTGTCTTGTGCAGAACAAATAAAAACCATTTGGGTTCGTCCCGTTTTCATTCCAACTATTCATGCTCCCCACCCCATCCTCCCTCCCACCACTCTCAAACTCTCTTTCTCACACTCTCTTTCTCTCTCTCTCTTTGTGCGGGCCGGCCGCTGGCAACAGTCGACAACAGTTTTCAATTCGATGCAACGCGCGACCTGCTCAGGGAATTGGATGTGAACGACATCGTTTGGATTGGTCTCATGCGACCGCAGAACTCGGATCGTTTTATGTGGTCGTAAGTAGTAGCCCAAAGACAGCATCTACATACATCCACGCCCAAGCAACACACCGAAAAATAGCAAGAACAGCAAACAGCCACCTAAAACGGGAATTGTGTCACAACAAGCAAAAACAAAAGGGTTCGACATGTGCCCATAACGCACGTGTGGACTCTGTGTGTTTCGAGCTTCGTTTCATGGTGCCGTTAAAGTTGTGCGCCAAGTTAAAGAGAAACTCCAAGGCTGAGTACGCAGTGAAGAAGTGCAAAGAAAAAGAATACGTGAACGGTGGAATATATGCAGCCGCGATTGAGCGGGAATTGTGTGCGAAGCGTGTAAGTAGCTAGAGTGGATCGCGTGGATCGTGAGAGCGAGCAGCGCAGTCAGCGCAAGCAGCGGGAGAGTAAGAGCGAGCAGCGCAGTCAGCGCAAGCAGCGGGAGAGTCAGCAAGAACGTCAGCTGGCTGCTAGCCATGCGAAGCTCGAAGAAGTGCTTAGATAATGAAAAATGCCACAAAGTGTACCACAAATGATATGAAAAATGACCAAGTTTACGATTACCAATTTGTAATTTTGTTTTCTTGTGTGTTAACAGTAATTCGCGTCCCCTCGTGGCCGACACGGGCTACTGGGCGGAGTCGCTGCCGCTGATGGATGCCCCGCTCTGCGCCGTGATTGATCCCATACGCGACTACCGCTGGCACGCGCTGCGCTGCGGTGGACCCGAGACGGCCTCCTTTCTGTGCGAGATGCCAGGTAAGAGAAGAGAAATCAAAGAGAGAGAGAGGGAAGCGAGAGGGAGCTGAGAGGCTTTATTTAGTTCCCAGCTGGGCGGATGCCTGCATACTGAAGGACATGCCCAACCTGACCATGCAGTACATGGCGGACACGGCCAGCATCGAGCTCATCCGCAACTGCCAGGAGGAGGGCCTCCTGCGGCACACCTGCAAGGGCAAGGAGGTGAGTGGCAGCTGTCCCCCTTCTCCTTTCCCACGTCCCAAGTTTCCCGAGCCAAGGAAACGCCCTGCGCATGCTGATGTCTAATCTGATTTCTCGGCAGGATCGCGATCGGGCTGTGCGCAAGTTGATCTGTCCCAAGGAGCGGCTGGAGGCGCAGCGGATCAACGACATAACCAACTCGCACTTCAAGTCGCTGCAGATCATCAACAACATTCCCACGGACAACAACGAGAACAACGACATCGATCTGCTGCCCAACTACAACGGAGGACGGGGCATGGCCATCAACATTGAGGTGGCGCCCCCGCTGGCGCCCACTCTGGCCCCGTTCCCGCTGAACGAGCGCTTCGGTCTGGCCGAGTTCATGCAGGCCGATGCCCCGGGCTCGGTGTCGCTCTCCGGGCTGTATCGCATTCCCGACGAGATACCCAAGCCGGTGAAGAAGTCCGCCAAGAAGGCCAACACCCCGGACTTTGTTGTGAAGCTAAAGCAGGAGCAGGAGCAGCCAGCGAAGCCAACGACCAGCAAGCGACTGATGGAGGAGATGATGATGGGGGACCAGCCGGCGCTGAGTGATGAGCAGCTGCCACCGAGCATGGCCGAGGCGAAGGACGACAGCAACAGCGATGCCTCCAATGAGATATTTGAGCCCTTGCCGCACAAGAAGAAGATCCTGCCACAGGATCTGCGCACCATGCCACCCATTGTAGAAGTGACAGCAGCAGCAACAACAACAACAACAACAACCACTGAAATGCCAACAACAACAACAACAACCAAAGTGCCAACAATTTCAACAACAACCGCAGCAGCAGCAGCAGCAGCAGCAACAATGGACCACAGCCCGATGTCGCCTCTGCCACAGAGCAACAACCTGGGCCATCCCATGCATCCTGTGCAGCAGCAACCTCACAGCGGAGACGATGGCTCCACACTGCAGCAGCAGCAGCAGCAGCAGCAGCAGCAGCAGACGATGCAGACGATGCATGCCACGCATGTGAAGGAGTCCGCGGACAATTCACACTTCATACCACCCATGCTGCTGGTGAAGGCGCATTATGTGCCGCCAGCCAGACATGCCAGCCAGGAGCATGTCGATCACGGCGACCATAAGCCAGCACATGCCACCACCACCACAACAGCCAGAGAAACAGCAACAGAAACAGCAACAGAAACAGCAACAGGAACATCCACAACAGCAGAGCCGAGAACAAAGGCCGCCACAAAGGAGGAGCAGGAGCAAACGTCAACAGTCATGTCATTAACGGGTCTGACAGCAGACACAGACACAACAGTGGCTTCAACAACAACAACAACAACAACAGTGGCAGCAGCAATGCCAGCAGGTACAACGGAAAGTGTGGAGGTGCGAACAGCAGTGAAAGTGGCTAAAGGCAGCGACACCAGCAAACAGGAACAGGCAGCCACAGGAACAGCAACAGCAACTACAACAACAAAAGCTACAACAACAACTGGTGCAGCAGAAATGGAAAATACTTTAAGGGGAACCGCAGCAAATGCAACAACTGCTGGCACAACAACAACAGGTACACCAACAACTAGCAAGGCGGCAACACCAATGGAAGTTACACCAACAACAACACCAAAGGCAGTGACACCAACAACAGCAAAGACAACACCAAAGGCAGTGACACCAACAACTACAACTGAAGCAGCCATAACTACACCAACAACTACACCAACAACAACTACAGCCAGCAGCCAGACATTGAAGCCAAACGCAGTTGCTGCAAAGGAAGCCACTGAAATTTCAGCCGGAAAGCATGCTAAAAAGTACTCAGAGGACGGGGCAGAGGCCGAGGCCGAGGCAGAGGCAGCCACAACAAGACACAACTTCCTGGAGGAGGAAACCGAGGCGCCATTCAAGCCCAATCGACGACGCTCGCTGACAAAGCCGGAAACTGTTAGCTATTTCAAGAAGATCCTGGGATAGAGCAGTAACAGCGAGAGAGAGAGTGAGTGAGGGAGGGGGAGGGGCAAACGGCAGGCAGAAGCAACAGACTCCACACAGCATCCACACAGCGACAGCGCTCCCCAGTAACCGTAATCGTAGCCTTAACAGCGACTGTTAACACACATTTCCGGCACACAGACAAACAAATGAATCCCCAAGCAGCATTGATACCTCCCTCCCTCCCTCCCCACCCACCCACCCACTCCCTCCCCTTACGCCAAAGAAACCGAACAACTTTTACACGTAATTGGTCTTCAAAATCATAGAAAGAGATGAAGCAAAAGGAATGGCAAAAGGAAAGTGAGTGCGAGAGAGCTGGAGCTTGAGCTCGGTGCGCCAGCAAATTGAATCAGCTGTCCCCCCCGGCCACACCCCTTCGAAGCAATTGCATTCCAAGCCATTTGCCCCTGTCCCTGCCACTGACTCACCGCATTCCCATTCCCATTCACATCCACATCCACATCATCATCATCTATATGCACATTCTGGCCAAAAGTTTGTCTGCGGCAAGCCCGGGAGCCACCCAGTTCTGTTCTGTCTTAGCCAGAAAATGCCGGAAATCCAAGCTGTTAGTCAAGCGGAAACGCAAAGCAGCCAAAAAGAAAACTCAACTTCGGCTTCAGCTTCAGCTTCAGCACAAAATATGTCAATTTTTCACCCGGAAGGAGCACCAAAAGCGAGAAATGGAAGCCAAGGATAAGGTTGAGGCTGAGGCTGAGGAAGCAGATGGAGATGGAGATGGAGATGGAGCTAGTGTGTGTGCACAGCAGAGGCCAAATCTAAACCACGATAAATACGAAAACAAAAAATATGAAAAGCAAAAGCATAAACATAACTTTGTGTGTGTTGTTTACCAGCAGTGCGACGAGTATACAGATAGGGATTCTGTTTTTGTGTGGACTTCGGTGTACTTTGTGCGACGAGCAGACAGAGCGACAGAGCGACAGAGCAGAGGGAAGCACTCTGAAGCAATTACTGAGACACATTTGATCACATTTCCCATTGGCTCTCACTCACTCTCTCCACTACCGCTGCGCTCTTGTGCAAACGAGTCCAAGTATTTTATGTTTCATTTTCCATGAGATTGCACTTGCATTTTTCCGGTTTCCAATGCCAAAGCAAAGTACAGCGAAGTCCCAAAAACGGAGGCCAACAAGCAAATTAAATATTAAACTATAAATTATAAAGGATAAAGGATAAAGGATAAAGGATACGACATAGAACACTTTTTTTTGTGCGTGAAAATAGTCAAATACAATTTGTGAACGAGAGGCCGTTTGTCACACTTTGGGAATTTTTAGAAGGTTACTCCGACCGAGAGCCGAGCACACTTAAGATTAAGCTAAAATTAAACCAACACGAAACCAGAGGCAGAGGCAAAGGCAAAGGCAAATAAAGGCCCAAAACGTGGAGATGGGTGCCGAGTCCCCGAGGAGCAGCGAAAACGAGAGCACACTTGATGTAGAGAAATATTTGTAGGTACTTAAGAATAACGGGCCGCGATTGCCCAAACCAACGGATGAGCACAGATTCAGGGTCTCCGCCTTGATGTGGCCCCAGAAATCGACACAAATATGCAGTCAAAATAGTATAAATATAAACCAAGTAATGAATTATGAATAAAAATGCAAGAAATTACAAATGCCAAGGGGTTTTGTTTTGCCAGCGAGGGACTGGGCACTGGGCACTGGATTTACCCACCGGACTGCTGCAAGTGGAGGCTTTAATGGCTAAAAGCTTTGTCACTGCCTTGTCTCGGTCGCGGTCTGTGGCTGGCCGGACCTCCTCTTTCTGTTTTTATGCCAATTTTCATTTTTACTTCATTTGTGCTTTTTGTGCTCGTTTTTCCTTTCTCGTTTTTTGTGCTGTCTGTCTGCTGTGCTTGTGGACGCGTGGAAAGCGGCTCGAGGCGCATTTTGTAAATTGAAAACCACCGGACACGGTCCACGTCCAGCTCAGTGCGAGCCCCAGCTAAGCTGGCAGCAAGTTCTCCGACTCGCTGGATACCCTGCCAGAGATCCTTCAGCTGGAAGTTGCTTCACATTTCGATTACTTTTCGATACAAATTCGATTACAGTCGATAGTTTGTGTAGCTGCTTCCCAGCACCATCTGGAATCCTGTCCAGATTGCTCGTTCCCCGTTCCTGCCAGGCAGTCGTCGTGCATTTTCGGGCATTCAACTTGAGCATTCCAATGGCCCGGTTCTGGTTCTGGTTTTGGTTCTGGTTTCCCTTTTTATTCGCTTTACTGTGCGGCTTTGCTGGGGCATGCAACCACTTGCCAAAAGCATACAAAAAGGAAACCCAATCCTGGGGCAAGCAAATTTGCTGAAGTTCCCCCTTATTATGCCCAGCAATTCGTTTAATTAAATATTTTTTACTTTAACAAATATTAGAAATGAAGTCCCGCTACTCGGGGCTACTTTAAGTTCCTCTTCTTCTGAGGGAACTGAGTGCAAAACGAAGCCGAAGCCATTTCGGGGCATCCTCCTTGGCGCTGGAGTGCGCTCATTCGACCGTGTAAAGTGCACCATTCTGGACCCGTCTAATCATGGCATGGGGATGGGGCTTGAGGCTGTAGAGCTGCTACGCGGGGCAATTTATTACGCATGCTGCAAGGGCTTTTATTTCATTTCGTTTCAGCCCCGATCCACCTCTTTTACTGCCAACTCCGAGGAGCAAATGAAGTGCAGACAGCAGCCAAAGGGGGGCAGCCCTTGGGCTTGAAATTAAATTTGCAGGGGAGAAAAAGCTGCAAACATTTCAAATTGAAATCAATTGCGGTTGCTCATTGACGCCACGGAAGGTTTTATTTGCGCCGAGCAGAGTCAAAGTTAATTGAATTTTACCCAGCAGACAAGCCACACCCACACACACACACACCCACACACAGGACATGTGTCTTCGTGCATTTATTCAGACATGTGCATGTGTGTGGGTGCTACTTCCGCACGGAAGACGCCTCTGGAGTTGGACAGACAGGAAATTTGATTTCCAGCAGACCAAACACCACATTGTGGATATTGGCTGATAAAACCAAAGCGATTATCGCCCACAGCCTGCAGCCACTGTCCGCTAACAGCACTCTAACAGCGCGCTGTTAGCTTGCGCTCTCTCCCTCTCTCACGATCCACACGCGACTGCTGCTTCGATTGCACCATCCACCATCCACCATCCACCCTCCCGCTACAGATCTCAGACCGTTTAGTTAATCACTTTCAAATCGCATCGGACTTGTTACACAATTGTTCCACTCCACTTGCAATTCTCAAAAGTGCTGGAGCAGAAGACGCCTGCCTTGAGTGCTTGCTGCCTCGGGTGTCGAATAAACTATTACAGCTTCGCTTCCACTTCCCTCTGTCTGTGCGTTTGTTTGCCTGTGTGGCTTTTGCGAGTGTTTTGGCGACGGCAAGCGGATGCGGAACCAATTTAACGACGCCATATCCGCCAGCCACGAAGCAGCAGCGAGCCAGCGAGCAGCTCCAACCAGGACACTGCAGAATCTTTGCGGCAGCATTGACATCATGTGGCCCTCTCCTGAAGAGGGGTACCCCGCCGGACCCGCAACTGTTTAAATAAAAACAAAAACATTTCCAACAACAGAAAATTGTCAATTTATTGTTGTGCTTCTGTGCGTGTGCGAGGATTGCGAGGATTGGATTGAATTACTCAAACAAAGCGAACAAAAAAGTCACCGCGAATAATCAGCGAGGATTAAACAAATGAAAATAATCCATAATTGATTTGCGGATTCGTAAATAAACAAGTAATAAATTGAGTTCGAGTGTTTGTGCATTGATTTTTGACCCATTTCGGTGCATTCGAAGCTCGAATGATGCTCCAAAATATGTAGCATACTTATCTGAGCACATTCTAAAACTTGCAAATGGCGCATGCAAAATGCAGAGCATAGCCAAGTCATGCAGCTTCCCATTGGTTCTTGCACTTTTTTTCTGTTCTTCTGCTCTGAAGTCTGAAATGTATGTATATTGTGCATTAATAATGCAGTCAGCCAGTCAGCCAGTCAGGCCGTAGTCAGTGCCATTCCATTTGCTCATTTCAAATTGAAATCCCTTGTGGAGGACTTTATTATTATTATTTCATTGAGATGCGTGTAAAGCACAGACGGAATTACAACTGACCCAGCTGCATACATGTACATGTACATATACATACATGTAGATATACATATACATGTACATATGAATATGTAATATGTAAATATGTACGAGCAGCTGTGACATTTTTGTTGTTATTCGAACTGCGGCTGTGGCTGTGGCTGTGGCTGTGGCTGCTGCTGGATGTTGACGGTCAGCCCAGGTTCGACGCACTGCCACCCATTCCAAGAACCAAGAACAAACTTTAACTGCCATTCTCTAACGGGATACATGTAATCAGACACACGGGGCTAAAGTTATGATGTGTGTGTGTGTGTGTGTGTGCAGCATCATCATAAAATTCAATTAAAGCGAAACGCAGACAATCAAACAAAAGATCAAATTAAATGCCAGCCCAGCAATTTACTTTGTCGATGTATGAGGGCGTGGCGTGGCGTGGCTGCCACATGCCACATGCCACATGGCACATCCTCTAACCCACTGAATGGCAGTATCTCTGTCTCTCTGTGTCTCTCTGTGTGTGTGGCATAGACAACGGCACGCATTGCGGTTTAACGCGCTTTAGCACACACACAGAGAGAGAGAGACAGTGATATACCGTTAGAGAGAGAGAGAGAGAGACTGGCAGACTGGCAGACTGGCAGCCAAAGGAACAGAAGAACATCAAAGAAGAAGAAATGGAAGCTGCTGCGGTATTTTTACGACCATTTCAGGGCCGTAATGGCAATCCAAAAGGCTCTACAAGACACAGATATATGTACATGGCGGATGTGGGTGGCAGGGGAGGGGGTTGTCGTATAAAAGTCATTGGGACTTAGTTAAGCCAGAGATATTAACAAATGCCGTAGATGAGAGTGGGGAATGTGTGAATGGGGTGAGGCTGAGTCTGCGGCTGAGCATAAGCATGAAATGGGAATGTGGCTACGGTGGCCCATGGATGATAATAATAAAACAGACCACAGTGGCTCACCCAGTCACAGCAACAGCAACAGCAACAGCAAGAGCTTTAGCGAAGCGATTT